CTAATTCTTTTTTAAAAGCCTTTACAAACCTCTCAAATACCGCCTCTGTGGACAAAGTTAATTCTCTGTGCACAAAACTGAACTTGCATGCAGAAACAAAAGTGCACAAGATTCAGGTCCAGCAGTTTTTCCCTGCTTGCCATTTTTGCTGTGAATAATTTGAGTGACAGGTCTTGAGTAATATGACACTGACATCATGTTTCCCTCTGAATTAATATTTCAATTTTTGTTATGGTCTCTCAAGCTGCTAGGTTGCAATTATGTTCTCTGATTTTTACAACCAAACATGGTTACATTTTTATATTGTAAATCAGCAAACAGCTGAGCGAGGCCCCCCTCAGTCCCTTCACGATCACGTTCCGTGGTGAGGGGTCCGCACCAGTTGCACCCGCGTAAGAACGGCCCTGGATGTAACTGACTATTGACCAAAACCCATTTTAGATTCAGTCGCTGAGTTATTTCATTTTTCTGTATGAATTAAACTCGTCATTTGTATTTAAATTTGAATTTAATATGTATTTTGTATTTAATAAACCTTCATTTTATGGCGCACATGTCAGAGGCTTTTATTTCCCATAATACATTAATTTACCCAAAAGCCTTCAAACAGCAACATTAAAACATGCGGGAACAGTGATCTGTCATGACTAAATGAGCACTTTCAGATGTGGTTATATCGGTATTCTTTTTGACTTGAAGAATATTACGATAAGCTCTTTTTCTGTAAGCTTAACAAACCTTTACACCGTGTTTTAGCCAGATGTGACGTGATGGCAATACTCAATGTTTGTCTTTTAGAAATGGCTTCTATTTCTGCGACATCGTGGCTGGAGCAATAATAACATACAATACAAACTATGACCTTGTGACCTTTATAGTTACACTGAAAGCAACAATGGATAATTTACCTCAGATCGGAAACATGAACAGTTAGCCTGACTATGAACTTCAAGTGTATTTCATAACAAAAATTGCATCAGTCAGTATGTTTTTTTTATATATTGTTAAAATGGTTAAATCTTTAAGAATTATATTTTCCATTCCAAAGTCGGAATTGTGAGATATATACTCAAAAGAGAAAAGAGTGTGAATTGTAAGATAAAAAGTGGCAGTTACCTTTTTTATCATGTGGCGGAAATGGGTATGTGTATCTGGTGTGGACAAACATTGTCACTGGAATCTTATTGCATTGCTTTTAGTTAGTATACAGTGTTAGATATGTTTTCCAAACTTTCCAAAAAAAAAAAAAAAGATTCAAAATCTGTCAAAAGTTACTAATAGCCTATTTAAGTACTAATATGCCCCATCTTTTATGAGAGTGCAAGTACACATTCTTGAAGTCTTTTGCTGTGTCATTGGAATGATGCAGGATAAAACCATACCTGTTTGTTGCAAGAGGAACTTTGGATGGTATGGAGGAGAGAGGAGGCTTTTCACTCTCACCTCAAGTTCTCGGCTGTCTGCGGGTGAAGATGAGATCGGATTAGTGCTAAAACTGGCACTGACAGATGCTTCGTCTCCCGTCCAGATGATCCCTTTTAGTGGAGAGAAGTCATGGTTCATAATGCAACTGCAAGTGGCATGGAAATGCATACAGTTAAGTCCATCAAAACAATTCAGTTATAATCAGCGTTTGGAATAACATGAAAGAAGTTTCATTTTTGGGTGGACTATACCTTTAAAGAGTACATTTTAAGTTCAATATATCCAGGGAAAGTAAAAAACTTGCCAATACGAACCTTACTGCTTATGACAGGAAAGCAACTGGAAGCTCGTGGACTCATTTGCCCTCTCCTCTCTGAGAGCTTCCTGCTGAGGGTGTATTTCAGGTCACCTCTCCATCCACTGCAGAAGAGCCATTAAACATCAAGTATTTTCCCGGAGCATGGTTGGTTGTGTGTCAGTGTTCTACATGATTTTCTCAGTGGTTGTGGAAGATCAAATCAGTTCAACGCAGAAATGAATATGGAATTTGTAAAGGTACGCATGAAAACAACAATAAGCTGCCAACACCAGATGTCATGATTAGGTTTCAAACAGATGGTATCAGATGAGGTACCATTAAATTAAATAGACTATATTGTTCCCCAAATAAAATCTGAATTGCACTGCAGGGTGGTGCATGCATACATACATACACTGGCATAACATTATGACCTGACACGTGATTAAAATTGATTATCTTTTCATCACGGCACCTGTTAGTGGGTGGGATATATTAGGCAGCAAGTAAACATTTTGTCCTCAAAGTTGATGTGTTAGAAGTAGGAACAATGGGCAAGCGTTAGGATTGGTTCGAGTTTGACAAGGGCCAAATTGGGAAGGCTATAGAAGACTGGGTCAGAGCACCTCTAAAACTGCAGCTTTTGAGGGGTGTTTCTTGTCTGCAGTGGTCAGTATCTATCAAAAGTGGATAATGTGCCCTTCCACAAAGCAAAAATGGTTCAGGAATGGTTTGAGGAGCACAACAACGAGTTTGAGGTATTGACTTGGCCTCCAAATGTTCCAGATCTCAATCCAATTGAGCATCTATGGGATGTGCTGAACAAACAAGTCCGATCCATGAGTCCCCAGCTCGCAGCATACAGGACTTAAAGGATCTGCTGCCAACATCTTGGTGCCAGATACCACAGCACACCTTCAGGGGTCTAGTGGAGTCCATGCCTCGACGGGTCAGGGCTGTTTTGGCTGCAAAAGGGGGACCAACACAATATTAGGAAGGTGGTCATAATGTTATGCCTGATCGTATACATTGCTTGATTGGTGTGATTCACCAATTAGAATCGAGTATTACAGAATTAGGGTTAGGGTTCACTGCGGTACACTGCGTGTTTAGGTGTTTAGGTGTTTTACGCAAATTTTACAGGAATGCTCAGGGGTTAAATATGCTTTAACATCTAAATTACCATCCATTATCATGAATGCAATATTGTAGAAATAAATTTTTTCCCTAAGTTAGTCCGTAATTTAAAATAAATAAATAACGCTGAGGGTTGCCCCAGTCTGGGATCCTGCTCACGACATTTGTGATGGCAGCACAGATCCTTTCCCACTACACAGCCTGCATGTCTGTATCTGCATAGGCTCCTAGGAAAGGAGAACAAAAATCAATATTTCCTCCTTATTAATGCATGACTAATCCTTCATTCAAATATATTTGGCATTCTCAACTCCACATGCTCTCTCATTCAGTTTAGAGGAAATAGGCTATTCACCCTGATTACCTGAAAAAAGTGTGATAAAATAGGATATATACGTAGATAGATAGACTGATTCATTTTCTGATTCTTTCTGTCTATTTGTGAGGTCCATATCATTTGTCAATGCACAAGTACTCACGGAGAGCAATACATCTAATTCTGGCTCTATTTTCATTACATCAAAGAAGTGGCTGTCTGTTAATGAGAGATCTGATCTGACATAAGATGTTTTGAAATGAGATGCTTTTGAAAGTAGCACATGGTTGAGTGGTTGCCAATGGTGATTAAGTGAAAGTGACCCATATAGAAAACAAAGCAGTTCTTTAAATGAAAATCCTACAAAGCTAGACACAGCACACAAAACAGACTAGTTTGGAGTCGCCTAAAATCATATTTCTAGTTTTAGTGAAATTAGAATTTATCCAATTCAGGTTCTCCATTTTAAAGAATGAACATTATAAGTTAAGAAAATTCTTCCTCTGGGAATGAATGACTCCCAAAATGATATACTCTTAAGGATCAGAGAGAAATGGTCATTAAAGCTACATCACTTTTTTAGTCCAAGAATCATAAGTTATATATGCATAAGTTAATAAAAGCAGTGCTTAAAATAAAATAAAAAAGACACTAGAAAGGACATTTTTATTTATTAAATTTTTTTTATATGTGTAAATAAACCTTACATAGACTCCTTGTTTAAAAGCTTTGTTGTTCTAGAGTGTCTGTTGTTAAAAAAAAGTAAGCTATTCCACCTGTAGTCCTCATGGGACAGATGCTTCACGGGGGAACTCTGTAATGATAGTGTGCATCTCTTTACCAACATTGAATCATATAATATGTTTTATTTTTTGGGGGTCTATTTGTGAGGCACACAGCTGTTAAAACCCTATAGTTATGATATGTTTGCATCTAAAATAAGAATGGCATTTTCAGTTAAAGCCCACATTTACTGTAAGCTCCTGTAAGCGTTGCTTGTTAACAAAATAAACCCTATAATCCACTCAGTATCAACACTAGCTAACGTTGTAACGTGTTCCAAAACTACTTGAGAGGACTCTAAATTAGTAAAGGAACAACAATATTTAATACAGACCTTTTCAGCCATGCCATCAGTGTGTATGAATATCAGCTCTGATTAAATATTGGACTGCATGTTCTTTTTTTTAAAAGGTAGCACTGCCACCTGTTCCTTCACTACAAAACATTTACTGTGGAAAGGTATCATGCAGAGTACGGTTAATAGACTATTATATTCTATGTTATGTTATATGAAAGCATTTTTTAAATAATATAACACATTTTATTAAAAAGCTGTTGGTGTAGCCTATCAAAAACAAATCTCCAAACTTATACTTTTGAGAGACCTATAAAAACGGTATCAAATGGTATCGGCCAACCAATCACGACCGGTTTGGCTGATCTTCCAGGATGTGAGTGCTAGACTGGTTATTTCTCTGGCAAGCGTTTACTCGTATTTAAGCTCGTATCACCGATGACAAGCGAATAACGGATTGCTGCTGCCTTCTGAAAATCTCAGCATCAGCACCACCATCACTATCAGCATCATCCCCGACACCGACAAACATTGCACGAGAACAGCTCCGGCGCGTTTAGAACGTTCGGGCGTTTATTTACATTCCGCCTTCGGATAATCCGTTTACATTTCTCTCTCGGAATGCCTTTGTGACGTCATAGAGGTAGACATTCTGTTTGTAGTTTTAAAATGAACACCTGTTATGTTTCAAATGGCATGCACGTTGCGCAAAAAGTAGAAGAGAGGCGACGTTTTAAATTCATACGGACATACTGAAGCCTTCTAATCTCCGGGAGCGCAACTAAAGCCGTTTAGGGATCCATTTAGTGATAAGCCCGACTGCTGCTGTCTGTCTGCATCAACAGGGGACATGGATGGTGAGGAATTTGCAATGACGAGAGCGATGATGATGATGATGATGAGTGCACTCGTATGGCTGCTCTGCTCCCGTGGAAACTAAAAGACACTATCATCCAGCGTGTTTTTCACTAGCCTCGGTCTGTTTTGTGGATTTTCAGTGAAAAACTTATCCGTGTCTCCGCGCAAACATGGGCAAAGACGAATGCAAGACCATGTTGGACGCGCTGAACAAAGTCACAGCCTGCTACAGGCATCTGGTCATCGCTTTGGGGAGCACATCTGATTCCCAAAACCTCCGAGAGGAACTTAAAAAGACCCGAAAGAAAGCCCAGGAGCTGGCCGTGGCCAACAGGACTAAGCTCACGGCTCTTCTGAAGGACAAAAGCATCAGCAAAGATGATCGAGCCGAATACGAGCGCCTCTGGGTGCTCTTCACCAGCAGCATGGAGCTCCTGGATGTGGACATGAAGCGATCCTTGGAGATCGGGCAGGATTTTCCTCTCAAAGTGCCAACGAGACACCTCATCCAGACGGGAATGACCGGCAGTACCACTACCGTGGCGGCTCGAGCCATGAGCGTCCAAAACATGAAGTACGAAGCCGACGCGAACATCGACACGGTGGACCTCAAAGAGCTGGAGACCGAGATCGCTCAGGTGGACCAGATGATGGAGGAGATGGAGATGAAGGTCCAGGTGGCGCCGTGGGCAGTCGAGGCGAAACAAGAGGCGGGAGCCGAGTTGAAATCCACCGTCAGTGTTGGGAATTCATCGGTTGGTGTCATCTCGATCTGCGAGGAGGAACCCAAGGAAACGGTGGAAGGTGAAACTGGGTTGATGAAAGTATTTGCAGGGATCATTTTCACCGTTGTTTTGCTCATAGCTGGAATTCTGGGGTATCTGGTGATTAATCTATAATGGATGAAGATAGTCTATCTGGATGACAGTGGCTCAGGGCTTTAGATTTTCTTATGGAGGAAGCAACACGTTGCTATGGTAGGCCTGTGAAATTGTGGAGGTAATTTAAAGTATGATGCTCTTGGTCTGGAGATCAGATCACCTCCATGGGTATTTGTAAAATGCATTAGTGTTTAAAGGGAATAGGCAAAAGGAATAAAAACTCTTCCATGACTGGTTCCTCAACCCATGATGGTAAAAACTGGACAGAGCACAATCAAAAGCGGGACTGTCACATAAAAGCTTTTATTTTAGCAAATTTTAAGCTACAATTTGAATTCTAAATTACTTGCCACTCTTTTGACATATCATAACTGGCTGTTTCATACTTCGGTGAAGATCTACAACCTGAAGATCACAACTTTTGGGACCCTCTGACAGAGCATCAGTGGGTTGTGCATATTAAACAGGTATTTGTTTCACAGTTTATATATATATATATATATATATATATATATATATATATATATATATATATATATATATATATATATAAATGACATATTTAAGGTTGCTCATTGTGTTTCTGACCTCCTGAGGACTCACACCAAGATATTCTTGTTAGTAGCCTACTTCTGCAAGCTGTCGGTTTATGTTTCTGAAGATGGCCCATGTTTAACTGCTTGTACTCTTGAAAATAGGCCTTAGGTGTGTTCTGAAACACAGTCTATTATAGTTTGTTTGTACATATGAATTGTACTCATGTTAAATTAGTGTATATACAATATATTTATTATAATAAATGAAGTAAATGATGCTTGTGTTTTAGGCTGTTCTGTTAAACAAGCACTTTATGTTGAAAACTTCACATAATGTTGGTTAAATTATCTTGTCTTATTCCATATTGTCTAATGGTACCCTAAATAGTAGATATATCTTAGGTTTTCTTTAACCTTATTCAAGCATTTACCGATCTCTCTGGTGTCTTCACAGGCACTATTAGTGCTGATTTATGTTATGCAAACAGATCTTGAGTGAAGTTTATTTAGTCATTGTTGTTTTTAAATTCTGATCCCCTTAGTTTATTTTCAGACTTAAGGATTAAGTATTGTTGGCAGATACTTCTTGCTCAACTAATTAAAAAGGTATTTATAGAAGAATTCAGAATCCAATTTACTTGCCTAGTCCTACGGTGTATCCTCGGCACAGAGCAGACGTTGTATTTTTTGCCTATTAATGTGATTAGCTGTTAGTCCTCTTTAAACCAAAGGAAGATTTGTACTGAGCTGTGCACAATACATCCTTTACTGCCTAATGCTGTTTTCTGTTCATAAAACTATTTCTCATATAACTTAAATTAAATATCTGTTAAGTGCATGAAAAACATGGGTTATTAGTCTTTGTCTAAAAAATTTCCACGGTGATGAAATTCACAGTCTGTTAATTTCATCATCATCATCATCATCATCTCCTTCTACCCAGCTTTTTACCCAATTTTGATCGATTAATTAGTCTCCCGCCGTGCCGTGTGACTCAGGAGCTCATAATGATTGGAACAGCTGCTTAAGTGGCGCCCTAGAATGGAGCGTCAGGTAAGAAAATCGATGCCGTTTAAAGGCCAAGTTACATATCCAGCAGGTATCAAACATTCATTAGGAAAGACTGAGAGGGAATTTAAACTGCAGCAATGCATGTAAACATATGGTGTATTATTTATTTGTTAAATGAATACAATTCTGCATTTTTTGTCAACAAATAGGAAGCAATATATCCACTTTGGCAGTTTTCTTGTTAATGAACATTAAAACAGCGCTCAGTTTTTTTATATTTAGTGCACATTGAGATCACAATAAGCTGCACATAAACTTCCAACTTTTGGAAGTTTGGGTCATAAATCCTTATGGATGCATCGGTTTATATGTTGCTATTCAAGCATTCCTTACATGGGGTTTGTTCACTTTTTATTTGTTATATACTTGTAATAAGAATGATAATTGATAATCAGTGATTATCAAGTGAAGTTCTTTATGCTGGTTTGATATTGCCAATGTACTGTTTTCCAGTATACATGATCTACAGATGAACAGTATTCCTGTGGAAATGCCAAATCAGGTTAGTTTGAAGCTCCATAGAAAGATAATATGCATTTATATAAACTGCTGTACTACAAATGGAACAGATATTGCTATGATTATTTTTTGAAACAGTTGGGCAGAATATACACATGCTTTCAGATCGTCATAACCCTTAAAGATGATGTTACCTTATCATTTCAAATTTAGGTTTAATAGAAGTTTGTATTTAGGGTCTTTTTTTATGCAAGCATGTATATGCTTGCTTAACTTTGTGCTTTTGTAAAGAAATCATCATTTTTATTTCTGCATATTGTTCTCACAGTCATTGAAAAACACAAAATCTTAAAAAGTTGTAACATTGATTTTCAGACCTGGAGGAAACATGCACATACTTTTTTCTAAACCAGTTAATTGAAAGAATGGCACCTGAAATATAAAATAAATCATCGTCTATATATCCTTATCTTGTAATCAATGAATGTCAAGAAAGGTCATACATTGATATCCATTGATCAAAAGTGTGGTAACCCTGTCTGCAGGTTTGTAGAAAGTTACATCAGATGATAAAATATTAACAGAAAGTACTGATGGCTGCTCAACAACTTTTTTTTATTATTTTTTAATTTTTTTAGATTTTGTTGTTGCTGCATGATTATTCTCAAAAGCATTATAATGCTGGCCTGCCACCTAGTGGACAAATACAAAAATGGTGCACTTGCACCTTTTACAATAACTAGGATCCATTTCTCAATACTTGGGTCACGTTTTCAAAACTCTACACACAGTTCATCTTATCAACCTTTATCCAAACCACATTCTAAACTACGCGCTAAAACTACCAAAACATTTATTACAGGTGTCAAATCAAGCCATTTTCTTTCAAATACCGGTAGAAATATTTTCTAACATCATAAATGGCTTTTCTTTTTCTAAATAAATACAAATATTTTCCATCCTTAAACTTTTGAATGGTAGTATATACCTGTCTTTCGAATGAAGTAATAAAACTAAAAGCCTCTTCCGAGAAATCATGGTTTAAATGTGAAACTCACACTCGTCAATGCAAATATCTCCTCACACACACTTGCAGAGCATGTCATTGTCTCCAGCAGAGGCTAACAAGTTGAGAGAATTACTACCTGGTTTCTTACTTTCATTCATCGCAGTTCAATGCCAAATGTCCTGTGTTTGACAGCAAAGTGGTTTGGAAAATCTTGATGCAAATAATGGATATCTCCGAAATTGGTAGATTGTGAGTTACTGAATATGAGAACGTTTCCTGCTATCTTTGCTCTTTTTCAGGTTCTCACTTCTCCACAACAATTAAAGATGAAAGATATCAAATCCGTTTAGACAATAACTGTTTGCTTTCTGAAATACCTCCAGGTTTACCAAGAGTTCAAAACTTTAAAAAAAACAAATGGGTGCATATGTAATTCTTTCTGGACTTCCAACTTTGAAAGTACTTGCTGATTCATTTACACAACAGTTGGAAGCATAGAGTTGCATTAGGCTTAAAATCATATGACATTTTAAAAGTACTAGATGAAACTAACGCTTTTGTTTTTTTTGCTTTGCATGAAGTATGCAGCATGACAGCGATGGAACTGTGTGATGAAATGAAAGATCATCAAGCTCAGAAAGCATGAGGAAAAGCCTGCCGAGAATTTTAAACTGGATGCGTGGAAGATTCTTTCATGATCAATTGCACACTGATAATAATTGTTTTATTTTATTTTTTTAGAACATGTGAAACGTGATTTAACTAAGATTAATAGTCCTTAGGTCCTGAATAACCCTGCTTACAGGGTTTCTGTGGGTCTTAAAAAGTATTATTTTACCCTTCCACAAATGAAGGCCTTAAAAGGTCTTAAACTGGAACAAAAAGTCTTAAATTCATGGCATTAAATGTTGCATGCACTGTAAAAATGAATATCTTTGTCAATATTTTTGTGTTGTTGTCCATTACAAATATCTAAACATCCTTAATTCAAGATACATTTACTTGAGATGCAAAATGAAGATATATGAAGTCTTGTTTTTTTTTTTGTGTCTGCAGGTTTGTAGAAAGTTACATCAGATGATAAAATATTAACAGAAAGTACTGATGGCTGCTCAACAACTTTTTTTTATTATTTTTTAATTTTTTTAGATTTTGTTGTTGCTGCATGATTATTCTCAACAGCATTATAATGCTGGCCTGCCACCTAGTGGACAAATACAAAAATGGTGCACTTGCACCTTTTACAATAACTAGGATCCATTTCTCAATACTTGGGTCACGTTTTCAAAACTCTACACACAGTTCATCTTATCAACCTTTATCCAAACCACATTCTAAACTACGCGCTAAAACTACCAAAACATTTATTACAGGTGTCAAATCAAGCCATTTTCTTTCATAACACTAGCAAAGGTTTTCACCCAACAAACACACTCTCACTTTTTGTCACTTTTTAAAAGATTTTTTTTTACAAAACAAGAATGACAGCTCTCTACTGTTCCGAATTCACTGCCGTAAATGTTACACAGTCTATGCTGACATTTCAGAACACAATTATTCCCAATTTTGTATAGATGGTAATGAAATCTAACTCCACATCTAAATGTTTTGATAGTATTTTACTTTTTAGATTGGGATTATAGTATTACTTTAGAGATATAGCAAATTTCTGTCTATTTCAGTTTTGTACCTAATTGTTGAGAAATGGGTCCTATTTATTGTAAAAACTGTATACTCTCTCCTTCTATACAAGGAGTTTCTGTATTTGATTGTAAATTTAATATGTTCTCTGAAGGTGAAAATTTCATTGACTGAGCTGAAAGTTTAATATTTTTCCAGAGCTAATAGTTCCAGTTTTTTTTTAGCTTATGTTTATATGTGCATGTTTTAACCTTTTTGTTTTTTTCAAATCTACCAGATCCATTTGCTTTGTTTTCTATGAAATCAGCACAGAAGTTCTGATCACATATTCCACGTCTTTTATTTTTGGTGTTACTTGACAGCCATTCCCCCATACCGGTCTATTATTGTAATACATTCTATTTACTTGCCCTTAAGTGGCATGTGAAACCAAAAAAGAACAAGTAGTTCACTTTATTTGTCTGTCATGCATTCTTTTCTCGTCTAAGTGGGCAGTTCTTTACCGCAGTAACCTGCAGAGTGGATCAGGCTGTTAGCATAAAGTTTGGTTGAAATGTCAAAGATATAATACAGACCTCAAAGCTTGCTTCTTTTAGAGATTAAATCAGCAACCCTATGATTATTAGCCCAATTATATGATTAAATCATCAACAATTTATATGATTAAAACACATGATCCTTTAGAAATCATTCTAATATGCTGATTTGCAGCTTAAGAAACATTACTCTCAATGTTGAAAACAATTGTGCTGCTTAATGTTTTTGTGGAAAACGTACTTTTCTTACAGGGTTTCTGTGGGTCTTAAAAAGTATTATTTTACCCTTCCACAAATTAAGGCCTTAAAAGGTCTTAAATTGGAACAAAAAGTCTTAAATTCATGGCATGAAATGTTGCATGCACTGTAAAAATGAATATCTTTGTCAATATTTTTGTGTTGTTGTCCATTACAAATATCTAAACATCCTTAATTCAAGATACATTTACTTGAGATGCAAAATGAAGATATATGAAGTCTTGTTTTTTTTTTTGAGAAAATAAACAAAATAGAGTTTTGGGAAACTTGTTTTCCCTTTGAATTAAGTTCTTAAATAATTTTTTTTTTTGCAGATACTTGTCCTTTTTTAAAAATCATAAATTCACTTCATTTTGATAATTTCTCAAAACAAGATTTCTTATCATATCTCATTTTGCATCTACCTTGATTTAAGAACTTCTAGACATTTGCACTGGAAAACAAGACAGAAATAGAGAGGAAGAACATCACATTTGTGCAGTGTGATCAGAAGGCTCTGTAAAAGTTATTTCCATATTCTAGTTAACCTATTTTCAGTGTAAAATGAATTAAAAAGTAATGAAGATCGGTTGTGTGTTTTTTTAATAGACCATATTGAAGTATTGTCATAAAGTCTTTACCTTCATAAAACTTGCAGAAACCCTTTATTACGCAGTTTCAAAAAGCACTGCATTTTACATTGATATTCTTTTACATTGTAAATTGAGATGTGTATTGGGTTTGAAATGAATCCAAAATCAGATGAAATCACTTGTTAAATGCTTCACATAATCAGAGCATTTGTTTACACTTCTATTCTTCTTGTGTTTCACAAGAAGAATGCCCTTGTGACGTACAGTATGTATCATAACCATTGTCAGTCTTTTCAGTGTCTGACATTGACTGACATCTCTAATAAATGTTTGCCTCTTTCATGAACAATAAAACAGAGCAGAAAGCAATACAATAGTTCCAGTTAAAGATTCCACCGTGATTCAGCTTAGTGGAAGTTTACCGAGCAGCTCTCGCCCTGATAGTAACTTATTTTTGGCATACTATCAGTAAATACCGTTGAATAGAGTGCACAGATTGTTCGTGTTGATAGTGTTTTACGCCTGAATGCGAGTGAGTGGAATGCCTCTCAGTAGACTGTACTTTCTACCCATGCATTTAAAAGAAAACAAATGAACACAAATATTTGTCACTGATCATTTTTGCTTTCATTCTGAGGACTCGTATGATCAGGTGTGATCGTTGTGTCATGGAGACATGGCAAACATCTTCAACAATTGCTGATTGATTGATTAATTACAATGCAGTGTTGTGCTGACAACCTCAAGTTTCCCAGTCACGCCATCACCCTAGAAGCTGCTTTGACAATTGTTCTGCAACCTCAGTGTGACATCAGCATTCCCCCATGCACCTAATTACAGCTTTCTTTGTGAGTGAGCGAACTGGAACATTCATCATACTCAAAAACTGTCCACACACAGACAATGTCTATGATTTTATTTGTGTTACTGTATACTATAATACTTTTTCCTTTTTGATATTTTCATGGTTATTTTATTTATTAAGTCCATTTGACATTGATTTTGATTTGTTTGATTGGCGTGAACAGATTGACCATTTGATTCACCATTGAACACATGAGATTTTATGGAATGTTGCATGCACTGTAAAAATGAATATCTTTGTCAATATTTTTGTGTTGTTGTCCATTACAAATATCTAAACATCCTTAATTCAAGATACATTTACTTGAGATGCAAAATGAAGATATATGAAGTCTTGTTTTTTTTTTTGTTGAGAAAATAAACAAAATAGAGTTTTGGGAAACTTGTTTTCCCTTTGAATTAAGTTCTTAAATAATTTTTTTTTTTTGCAGATACTTGTCCTTTTTTAAAAATCATAAATTCACTTCATTTTGATAATTTCTCAAAAAAAGATTTCTTATCATATCTCATTTTGCATCTACCTTGATTTAAGAACTTCTAGACATTTGCACTGGAAAACAAGACAGAAATAGAGAGGAAGAACATCACATTTGTGCAGTGTGATCAGAAGGCTCTGTAAAAGTTATTTCCATATTCTAGTTAACCTATTTTCAGTGTAAAATGAATTAAAAAGTAATGAAGATCGGTTGTGTGTTTTTTTAATAGACCATATTGAAGTATTGTCATAAAGTCTTTACCTTCATAAAACTTGCAGAAACCCTTTATTACGCAGTTTCAAAAAGCACTGCATTTTACATTGATATTCTTTTACATTGTAAATTGAGATGTGTATTGGGTTTGAAATGAATCCAAAATCAGATGAAATCACTTGTTAAATGCTTCACATAATCAGAGCATTTGTTTACACTTCTATTCTTCTTGTGTTTCACAAGAAGAATGCCCTTGTGACGTACAGTATGTATCATAACCATTGTCAGTCTTTTCAGTGTCTGACATTGACTGACATCTCTAATAAATGTTTGCCTCTTTCATGAACAATAAAACAGAGCAGAAAGCAATACAATAGTTCCAGTTAAAGATTCCACCGTGATTCAGCTTAGTGGAAGTTTACCGAGCAGCTCTCGCCCTGATAGTAACTTATTTTTGGCATACTATCAGTAAATACCGTTGAATAGAGTGCACAGATTGTTCGTGTTGATAGTGTTTTACGCCTGAATGCGAGTGAGTGGAATGCCTCTCAGTAGACTGTACTTTCTACCCATGCATTTAAAAGAAAACAAATGAACACAAATATTTGTCACTGATCATTTTTGCTTTCATTCTGAGGACTCGTATGATCAGGTGTGATCGTTGTGTCATGGAGACATGGCAAACATCTTCAACAATTGCTGATTGATTGATTAATTACAATGCAGTGTTGTGCTGACAACCTCAAGTTTCCCAGTCACGCCATCACCCTAGAAGCTGCTTTGACAATTGTTCTGCAACCTCAGTGTGACATCAGCATTCCCCCATGCCCCATGCACCTAATTACAGCTTTCTTTGTGAGTGAGCGAACTGGAACATTCATCATACTCAAAAACTGTCCACACACAGACAATGTCTATGATTTTATTTGTGTTACTGTATACTATAATACTTTTTCCTTTTTGATATTTTCATGGTTATTTTATTTATTAAGTCCATTTGACATTGATTTTGATTTGTTTGATTGGCGTGAACAGATTGACCATTTGATTCACCATTGAACACATGAGATTTTATGGATATTTTCATAATTTTTATATTTTACATTTATTTGATTTCAAAAGTATTAGTACAACACAAAACCATTTCAGTCAGCTTAACACTTTAAAATACCACCACTTTCTATAAAAATCATGCTATATGTTGAATATTTACATGGTTATTTTATTTATTGAGCCCATTTGGCATTGATTTTGATTTCATTGGATTAGTGTGAAAGCATTTCTTCTGCATTCTAATTCTAGAATGCAATTATATAATGCATGCATTTCTAATCTAGCTTGTATTCAGAGAAATGGCCTTTGGTGAATAAGCAGACTAAAACAACAATATAGGAGCTATGTTCATTTATTATCTTTGTGGATATGCATTATCCGAACTCTTTTTAAATCAATCTGACAATCAGTTTATTTTCTTTATAGATTTTATTTTCATCAGCAGTGTGAAGGGTGCAATACAAAGGTACACACTAATAGACCAAAACAGTGACAGTTTTGAAAAATAACCCAATAACGACCATTTACGGATTATAATACAATATTTAAAGAAAACAAAATAATAATAATCTTCCCTGAGAAAGCAAAGAGGACACATTTTTTGTAGTCTTCAAGATGATCCATTAAATGTCATCTGACTTAAGAGGCTGATATTTGACGCCTGATCTCCTGGTTCTGTAGATGAGAACACCACACACCATGCCAACAGCTGCAAGGAGACATCCAGCAATGAAAACCAGATTCAGGTTCATGACCGTGGAGGACACTGTGGAAAACACACAAAAGTGCTGGTTAATACATTGTGGGTATTGAAATTAAATCACAAATTACAAGACGTCACATCCAGCTCTATACGTAATGCACCTTTAAAATAGTATCACATTCTATAGAAATAATCTTATATGTTGACTTATTTCTCAGGTTTTACCTTCACGCTCTACGCTCCTTTTCAGCCGCAGGGGCCCCTGGCCGACTAAGTGACTGCTGGTCTGGATGGGAGCCTCTCTTTTGTGAAGGTGGTGGGACGGTGGTGCAACTGTGCTGTTGACACAGCCCTGAGAGCAGCGGGTGTTGGGATTGTTTGCCTCACACAGAATCACCGAACAGGTGATGAACACCTAGAGAGAATGAGAGAGATGATGTCTTGGCTGTCTGGAATGCTTGATTCTGATTGGTCAGTCAGTAGCAGCATTGCTTTGACACAGTATGTTGACTGCTTAACTGCTTTCATCGTAATACAATCGATCAGTTTTTACCTGCTCATGCATTCCAATGAACTGGAAGGCTTGCAGGCCGAAGCGGACCATTGACTGGTGGCTTGTGTAGAACTCAACCGTTTCATCCAAGATGCAGCTGAAGAACATACAGTAATCAGTGAAGACTTGATATGTAGAGTCTAACAGATCCATTGTGAGTGAATTCATTTGTTTGTGCTAATGCGTCTGCAGCTCATGGTTGATTGTTCTTACCCGTTTTGGATGATTGTGTAGGACGTTTGGTAGTTGGGGTCATTGTATGGTGTCGCAACACATGATTCGACGAAAAGCTCGGTGTTGCTGATTGTAGACTGGGATTCAATCTGCATGTAAATCATCTCCCCAAGCTCGTACTCCGCCGGATATGCAGTCACGTCTATTTCTGTGTGGTAGTTTGCTGTTTTGAAAAGTCCGAAGCTGTAGGTGAGGGTACCAAAGCCTTTCTCGGTGATGGTGGTTATGTGTCTCTGTGCAGTGAACTCCAGTGAGATGTTGTTTTTCTTCTCGTAACGACAGGAGATCTCAATCTCCACCTCATGCTTTCTGGTAATGATGCTGTTTGGGTCATCGGTTGAGAAAATTTCATTCTTGAAAATGATGTACTCTTCATCCTCCTGTAGAAGGAAATGGAGTATGAAATATGAATGGTTTTAACTGTGCCTAAATTAAAGTTTTGTCATCATTTGTGCACATCAGTGCCATTCCAAACTGAATGTCCAAGCTTCTGTTTTCCATACAACAAAAGTGGATGGTACTTATTATCAAAAAAGCACCAAAGAAGACCACAAAAGAAGTCATATGGACCATATGTGATGCTTTTATAGTGACTTTTCTGCTTTCATTGTTTGGAAAAGAGAAGTTCTGCCTTGTGTGTTTCATGGAAGATGGGAAACAAAATTCGGTTCGAAAGGACATGAGGATGAGTAATTAATGATAAACATTTCTATTTTTTGTTTGTTAAATTGTTCCTTTTGAGCCCATGAGAAAAGTTTTACCTCAATCATGGTACCACAAGCATTGAGGGAGAAGTTTGCCAACACATGAGTGCCGTTTGAGTCCAAAGTGCAGGCGGGATCGTTGAGTCGCAGATAGTCCTTGTGGAGCCCGACGGAGTGCAGCTGCTCAATTTCAACAACCATGTTGGTTGCAGAGCAAATCACATTTGCATCCACTGTAAATGTGATCAATCATTAGAATTGATTACCAAAATGATGCTTTGTTTATGCTGGCAAAACATAGTTGTCCAAGTAAAAGCTAATTACTAACCAGTCTGGCGTCCAACGTTGATCATGACACATCTCATTTCAGACTGATAAACGCTGCTTCTGTAAATCAATAATAAATAGTAATATTTATGAAATTCAGTTCACCTGAAAGGCTGCTAGCTGCTAGATTTTGAATATGATTAATAGTTTACCCACCCACTCATGCTCTCAGCAATGAAACACACGGGGAAATGATCTCCGAGGTCGTTCCTCATTGGTGTCCATCTGATGGCGTACTCTCCAGTGCTCAAAGCGTGCTTAGTTATGTTCAGAGGACCACTGATAATGACATCAGTAACCCTGGGAATGACCAAAAAAAACATGTTAAACACCATCTAATAATAGAAATAACTTGAAGCATTGATTTCATCCACACATGATTCCTCACGTTGAATAAGCTGCTGCAGCCTTAACCCGGATTTCCACTTCATGGTGTGGCGTAGCTTGGATTTCATCTCCATTGCGTGGAGTTGGCGACACAAAGTGAGGTATGTAATGTCCCTCGGTGCAGGAAGGAGCAGCTGAATCAACTGCAATGATTCAAATTAGAAAGACACACATTAGGCACACTGATACTACTAACATGATGACCTTGTTTTCTTGTTTAGTTGGTCATTGAGAAAGCCTTACCGAGAACACTGAATTGTAGAGGGAGCTTGCTGAAAGGTTCATAAGAACGCTGATGTGAAGCCATGGAAGTTGTGTACTCTTGAGGTGGCTGTGTTGTTGTGGTTGTGGTCGTGGTCTGCAGCCACCACCACCACTGGGCCGTTGTAGGTGGAGCAGTGGTTGTCTGTTGATGTTGCCACCACAACCATGGTGTAGTTGTAGGTGGAGTGGTGGTCGATTGTTGCTGTTGTTGCCACCACCACCACGGTGTAGTTGTAGGTGGAGTGGTGGTCGATTGTTGCTGTTGCCACCACCACCACCACGGTGAAGCAGATGTAGTTTGTTGCCACCATGGAACAGTACTTTGGTAATACCATGGGTACGGTGTCATGGTGATTGACCTTTGGTGTCTTCCACCATTCAGAGAGCATCTGTAAGAGCTGGAGCCATCAGTATAGGCCAGAGTGGTGTGTTTCCTTGGGAAGTCCTCCACAATCAGCTCAAATCCGTAGACGCCTGTTGTGTAGGCATAGTTGTAGTCTAGTGTGCAGGCACGCTAATGGAGAATTGAGATCTTCATATTAGTGGATGTTCATTTGGTTTTATTTCCAAACCATTCAGGTCACCAAATTGATTAAAAAAAAAAAAAGCTGCCAGAATATGCTACTAATGGTGTGAAAATAAAACGAAACTACTAAAATAAACACATCTGTTGTGTAAATCTAATTTGTATAGACCTTATTTCCACAGCGTGAAGGTTAGGTCGTATGAATTTATGAATGAACCATTCATTTTAAAATCTTCCCGATCTTTGAACATTACAATGCACATGATAACTTTAGCTAATTACTCTTCAACAGTGATGTTATAGCACTACAGCAAAAAATTCAAAAAGTCCAAGACAAAATTCAAAAGATGTTTGTGCACTTGTTTCTCAATTCTTTGCTGTAGGTTTGATTCATTCTAGTGAATCGTTTCATCCTAAATGGCCCTCTTTCTCTCATTTGTAGCTTGGGAAAACCTGATTCATTCTAATGAGTTGTTTCGTTCCAACGGTTCTTGCAAATGAAAAAATTCCAAAAAGATTCAGCATTTCAAGCATTTCATGTTTTTTGTTTTTTTTATATCGGTAAATCGTAGAATCAGTAAAGGTTATAAAAGGTTGTATTCTAGTTTTTCTTTCCCTTTCTCTTATTTAAATGTAGTATAAATATAGATTTTTTTTCAAGGCTTTTAGATTATTATTTTTTTTCAAGGTTTTTTGAATGAACAATCTCTTTCATTCAAAGCCCACATTGATATCACCCCATTTCACAAAGATCCACCCACCGATTTCTAACTTTCCCATTGGTTCGTATTTGTGAAAACATACCAGTACACAATATGTCACATTATTATGGCGATATTTTGTCTGTTTCTTACTTGATCTAGGTGGAAACCACTTGGCTGGTCACATGTGGCACATTCGACATGCTGCTGAGCTCCATATCTACATCTGACCTGATCACCATCTGGGTCATAGGCCATCAGATGATATGTACGAGGACAGTTTTGGGGTACACTAATGGGAAATATATATATATATATTCCATATTCATCATATTTTCATCATTTATAGGCTAGATGTTTTAACATGTATTTTCATTAGTTATTAATACTGTTAATAGAAAACTGTTGAATTAAAGTAAGAGTTACCGTAGAAGTTGTAAAGTAGTGGTGACAGGTGATCGGTTGGGTTGATTGGTATCAGCTCTTATGCCTAGATCTACGTGTGCCTGGAGGAACCACCAAACAACGTTGTTGACTGTGGGCACCCAGCAGCACGAGGAGTCCCTGTGATACAATAGTGTATTTTAGAATATGTTGAATGCACATTTCAATTTAAAACATATTCTGTTACTCACTGCAGGTCAAAGGGTGTGTTTCCATGGATGTTTCTTGTGACAACAGTTTCCGCTTGGCACCAGTTGTTGTAGTAAGCACTTCTGCCGTTAGAGCTGCTATCGATTTGACCATGGTGACTGCTGGATTCATAGCCACAATCTCCAGAGGAGCAGGACCACCAACTATAATCACACCAGTCATAGGTTCGCTTGAGTCGAAACTCAACCTGTTGGTAGAACACTGGTAGAGTCAGAATACTTGTTTGTAGAGTTTTTTTTTATTTCTATTTATATATTTAGGTGTTATATAGATCAATCATTACTAAAATGCACGATGACAGTGTTATATCTTTAAAAAAAATCATAATATGTCATTCATAATGTAATATTTTACAAATTAAATTGATCAAATTATATACAGTCAAACCAAAATGTATTCAGACACCTTGACCATTGCACACATTATCACAGTTTATTCGCTATAGTTTAGAAAAGGGTAATAAAATATGACAAGAAGTTCTCAGAGTTAAACTGTGTCAGAACAAATTCATCTTGATAATGTCAGATAACACTTTAGCAAAACATGGTCAGGTCAAAGTGTCTGAATAATTTTTGGTCCCAAATTTTGATCAATTTTACTGGTAGTCCATTGTATGACGAATATTTGGTTATAATATGTCACATTTAACTTTTTTTTTTTTTGCTATCCTCACTTACATAAATGAACTATAGTGTCCTGCACCCACTTGTAAAAAAATATCAAAAATTATACCTAGTGTCTGAATAATTTTTGGTTTGACTGTATATCTTTAAGAGTATTAGTCATCTCAGATATCTCTGTTTAGCCAATTAATGTCAAAGTTCAGCGAAAAATACTCTTCATCAGTAAATATTATTTTAACCGATCCTCATCAGATATTACGTTACTTTCTTCATTTGAATTATTTCCATGATTGCATCTCCCTGTCTTTTGACAGTGATGCATTTTAATGCAGCATTAGAATTAGTATAGTTATAATCTAGATAAAAAAAGAAAACATTTACAAAAAGGCAATTCTAAAAGACCATTTTTTATTAATTTGATAAATAAAGAGCAGTGTTGCTGCATTTTTAAAATTCAAATAAGAAATAAATTATCACCCTCATGCTCCCATCTGCATTGGTTCCTTTAGGGCTGAAGGTCACTGAGCCTCCATAATGGTGTCCTGCGGAAGCAATGGACACCAGAAGCAGAAGATTCAACACCACAGCCGAGGACATCATGGTACCTGACCTCCTGAGCTCACTTCACCTGTGAAGCACCTGCTTTTATACATCTCAGGTGAGCAGGAATTCAGGGATGGGTTCAAAAGCGTTCTCGTGCGATGCATTGAATCACACACAAAAAATTAGAGGGTAGTTACTTGCTTCTTCTGAGAAGTCACATGATTCAAATCTGAAACCAGCCATTGATCGGAACTCACTTAACAAAGCACACACCTCTTCATGCACATGCAAAGTATGATCTTGTCTTGAGAGTCCACTAGGGCCAAGATGCTCTGAAAAATGACTGCTTTTTATTGCACAGCTTCAATGCCAAATACGGTATATTATTTTCCTTGAGTTAAAAACATAAAATCTCATTGCAAAAAATTATTGAGTAACATTTGAGTAGCTTATTGAATATTTTTATCTCAATGATCTTTTTTCTCCCTGGATGCCAGCACTCCTACATAACAATGATCTGACATAAGCTATGAATCTATTTAAACAGCTGTTTGCTTTCTCAAATGCCGCCTGCCTTACCCACAGTGCAGAGAAAGATCAAATCGCAAACAAACAAAGCTCTGAAAAGGATTTCTCAGGACTTCAGACATCGAAGAGTGCTTGCTGATACATTCATTGAAAAATGAGAAGGATAGGACTGTATTAAACTTAAAATCATATATTAAAGATACAGCTTGAGGGGAAAAATATGTGGTTTATTTTGTGTAATGGGTGTGTCAGAGATGAAATAGGAAAAAGCTTATTACAGTAAACAATGTAAATACAATCAGGTAAAACCTGTAATCTGAGAATTCCAGACTGGAGAGGTCAAAGAGTGTTTCTAGACCTGAAATAACCAGTTGCTGTTATTATTTAGAAATGAAACTTTAAGATCTGGATTGGATTGTCAAGCGCACACTAACATGCACTTTTACATCTCTAAACAAAATTCGGTACTTTCTGTGACCATTTGTGAAGTTGAAATGTATCGGATTACATTTATTCAGATTTATTTTCAGCGTTTTATGCTTTAATTGTGGTAAAATAATTACAAATTTGGATGAAAACAAATGTTCATAAAGTGTACACTCGCATTTCATGAAATTAACCACTTTTTTTTTACTACATTTTATATGCACCGTTTTATGTGGGCCAAAATACAGTAGTTTGCAAAGTGCGCCAGATTAATGCAGACAGTCGGAAGTCTGGCAACATGTGACATCCCAAATCCTTCTAATCTACTTTTAATTACTTTTAATTGCACAGATCTTGCAGGCAAACCATTATTTGAGAATTTCTGTGTTCATGGCAGAATGCCAGAGTTATTCAGGTTATTATCTGAACAGTAAATTAATGCAATCTGATGAATGCCACATGATGACTAATTATGACTAATGCCCAATGGCTGGTAAAACCTTAAATGAATGCTTGTCCTTTGTCCTACCTTTTAAACAATAAATGCTTTTTGTGTGGTTATTTTTACTTTAGTTTCACTTCGGCTAATTACTTGCTCAGGCACAGTGCTGTCATATCAGTAACATTTGAGTAGCTTATTGAATATTTTTTTTTATCTCAATTAGCTTTTTTCTCCCTGGATGCCAGCACTCCTACATAACAATGATCTGACATAAGCTATGAATCTATTTAAACAGCTGTTTGCTTTCTCAAATGCCGCCTGCCTTACCCACAGTGCAGAGAAAGATCAAATCGCAAACAAACAAAGCTCTGAAAAGGATTTCTCAGGACTTCAGACATCGAAGAGTGCTTTCTGATACATTCATTGAAAAATGAGAAGGATAGGACTGTATTAAACTTAAAATCATATATTAAAGATACAGCTTGAGGGGAAAAATATGTGGTTTATTTTGTGTGATGGGTGTGTCAGAGATGAAATAGGAAAAAGCTTATTACAGTAAACAATGTAAATACAATCAGGTAAAACCTGTAATCTGAGAATTCCAGACTGCAGAGGTCAAAGAGTGTTTCTAGACCTGAAATAACCAGTTGCTGTTATTATTTAGAAATGAAACTTTAAGATCTGGATTGGATTGTCAAGCGCACACTAACATGCACTTTTACATCTCTAAACAAAATTCGGTACTTTCTGTGAACATTTGTGAAGTTGAAATGTATCGGATTACATTTATTCAGATTTATTTTCAGCGTTTTATGCGTTAATTGTGGTAAAATAATTACAAATTTGGATGAAAACAAATGTTCATAAAGTGTACACTCGCATTTCATGAAATGAACCACTTTTTTTTATGACATTTTATATGCACCGTTTTATGTGGGCCAAAATACAGTAGTTTGCAAAGTGGGCCAGATTAATGCAGACAGTCGGAAGTCTGGCAACATGTGACATCCCAAATCCTTCTAATCTACTTTTAATTACTTTTAATTGCACAGATCTTGCAGGCAAACCATTATTTGAGAATTTCTGTGTTCATGGCAGAATGCCAGAGTTATTCAGGTTATTATCTGAACAGTAAATTAATGCAATCTGATGAATGCCACATGATGACTAATTATGACTAATGCCCAATGGCTGGTAAAACCTTAAATGAATGCTTGTCCTTTGTCCTACCTTTTAAACAATAAATGCTTTTTGTGTGGTTATTTTTACTTTAGTTTCACTTCGGCTAATTACTTGCTCAGGCACAGTGCTGTCATATAGAGCAGGGATCCTCAAATCTGGCCCACGAGATCCACTTTCCTGCAGAGTTTAGCTCTAACCCTAATCAAACACACCTGAGCATGCTAATCAATGTGTTCAGGATCATTAGAAAATAACAGGTAGCTGAGTTTGATCAGGGTTGGAGCTAAACTCTGCAGCGCATTGGACCTCCAGGGTAAGATTTGAGGAACCCTGATATAGAGTCATAGAGTCATACCATATAGTTTATTTGAATAATTTATGCATTTAGCAGACACTTTTACCCAAAGTGACTTACAGTGCATTCAGGCTATACATTTTTACCAGTATGTGTGTTCCCTGGGAATCGAACCCACAACCTTTTGTGCTGCTAACGCAATGCTCTACTACTGAGCCACAGGAACATTAAACATATAAATGTTCAATATTCAGTCTGCAAAAAAAATACACTTTACAATAATATTCAGTTTGTTAAAAAAATGTTTTTTTTTAAAGAATTTACATAATTATAATTTTTATTAATTTTTCATGCATGTTAATTCAATATCAGAACTGTACATCTGTGCAACTTGATAAGTTACAAAACTTTATATGTGTGAATGCTATGAAAGTGTTGTTTATTGTTAGTTTATGATACCTAATGCATTAACTAATGTCAACAAATCAAACCCGATTCTTTATGTCATAAACAATGAAGTCTTTCCGATGTATTTTGATTGACATAATAATAATAAGTCTATTTCTACAGCTTGGGCCAAACCTTTTTCATGACAATAGGAGTGCAGCATTATAAATAACTAGGTATTTAGTAACTAGGTAACTAGGGTTTACACAAGCTTCAGTCTGGATCCAGACCACCTGAGAAGAGATGATGCCAAGCCCTCAGAGGACCTCAGATGATGCCAACCCTGAAACAACATACACAACTACCACATTTTGCTATAAGTTTGATTGCATCAAATAATAATTGCTGTTAACAGTGTTCATCGTCTGTTTGATTACGTCTTAAATTGATTTTTCCGTACATTTCTGCCATACACTCTTAAAAATAAAGGTGCTTCAAAAGGTTCTTCAAGCGATGCCATAGAAGAAGCATTTTTGGTTCCACAAAGAACCATTCAGTCAAAGGTTCTTTAAAGAACCATCTCTTTCTTGCCTTTTTATAATCTGAAGAACCTTCTTTCGCCAGAAAGAACCTTTTGTGAAACAGAAAGGTTCTTCAGATGTTAAAGGTTCTTTATGGAACCATTTAGACAAAAAGGTTCTTCTATGGCATCGTGAAGCACCTTTATTTTTAAGAGTGTATGTACATTAACTGACAGTCACCACTGATAAGCTACCACTAAATATTGTAGAAAATTAATTTGCTGTAAAGTTGCTTTGCAACGATTTGTATCGTGAAAAGCGCTATACAAATAAACTTGAATTGAAAACTTGAATTGAACTGAATAAATCATAAAGATAATTGTACGTGACTGTTTTAAACATTTTCATTGTTACCTTCTCTGTTCCCATGAAGCCTCAGATATCATGTTCCCAGACTGCTGCGGTCCATTTGCTGACCACCTGATACGTAAAATGTCTAAAATGTTGCAACAATGAGCAAAGAACCGCACGTGTTCAGGTTATTCATGATTCACATCATTTCCTTGAAAGTTATTCATAAATGGAATTAAGTAAGCACAAAAACTATAATCTATAATATGCTTGTTTTACATACATAGAAAGGAAGTGTGTTTGTGTTGAAAATAAGGATGATAATTTAATAAAAAAGGCATGCTGCAGGGCAATTACCAGTGAATAGCACCTAGTTAAACTAGATTTTAATCCTGAAAGACTGCACATGGATGCAATATTTAATAAAATCCACTTACTTTATTCATGTGTAAACTAGATAACCATAAGCAGAACAGTTTCATTTTGCTTCATCTTCAGTCATTTTCTACTTTGTTTGACTTATGTATTTTTATGTTTTATTTTGAGACTAATCCCCTTTTTTCCTCACATCATATTTTATCCTTTAAATATTCTATTGCTCATTGTTAATTCCTATTCATTTATAATGCCATATTAACTTGCACAACTGGAAATGTTTAAAACAGAAATGAATATTAACCAAGAATATAAAAATATGATGTAAATGTTTGATTTTTTACAACGAACTTGTAAAAAACCCCTAATAAATAAATTACAATATTAAATTAGAATAAAATTAGAATGCAGTTATTTGATCCATATTTCTCTATGCTTTTTAATATTTTTCTTAACTCATCCACTATCTTAAATACTTTTTTCAATGACCTCCTAAATAAATAAATTAAATGTATTTAAATAAATTCATACTGGTTAAAAGTCAAATTTACATTAAATAATTTTGTATTTTCTGTACATTCAGCATACTTTTAATATGTTTCTCAAATCTTCACTATCTTACTTTTTTCAATGATATTCTAAATAAATATTGTTTAATTAAATATTTTATCCATACTTTTTCTGTATTATCTATGAACATTTTTCTCGGCTTGAAGTCATTTTTTCGATGTAATAGAATTTACTTTTGGGAGGCTTTTTGACCAAGATGTGGAGGTTGAAGGTCAAAATCAACCCTTATTGTATAGTTGGCCAGCATAGTTGGCTGTAATAAGTTTAATCTAATTAATCGCAATTAATGGCAAAATAAAATTAACTGTGAAAATACCCACAAAAGTTTATTTAAAGATATTTTTGTTAAATGAGAAAGTATCAAGTAGACATTACAAATTGTAGCTTTAGAAATATTTTATTTGATTCAACAAAAAAATTTATTACTCAAACATTTAGGCTACAATGTACAACATAAACTATGGAACATAAAAGAAGATAATTTGAGAAACATCTCAGTATTGTTTGTTCATACAATGAAAGTCATTGGTAACCAAAACAGCTTTGCACCAACAGTCTTCAAAATACCTTCATGTTCCACAAAAGAAAGGTTTGAAACGACATGAGAGTGAGTAAATGATGACAGAATTAAACATTTTTGGGTGAACTATCCCTTTAACTCCTCATGATATGTCCATTGAAAGAAGACGATTCATTCAAAATGCGGATTCATTCAGAAACTAAACGCTGCTGTGTTGCTCGGAGACGCGCAACAATTCTGCTGTGGCTTTAAGGTAATATATTATTTGTAAAATTGAGCAAAAACACATAATATTGTGTTTAAAATATAACAGAATATCAACTTCTTACTGAGCTGTTGTATAAAATCGCATTTAAACTCTGATATCCGGGTCAAAAACAGCACTTGTGTTATAGCCTACTGCTCTCCCTGCTCGTGTGATATCGATATTGTATGATATAAATATGAGACAAACATTTTTTGCACCCATATCTTGAATTTTAGGGCATAACTGGATTTATGGAGTTGTTGCCCTACATCATATTTGTCAACAGTCAACTGTATGAAATGTAAGATGATGTACACGTCTGGGGGCAGGGCCAGTGCGTTAACTGCGTTAAAGGGGTCCTTCACTGTTTTTTTTCTAGGCTTGACTGTGTTTATGTATATATATATATATATATATATATATAGATAGATAGTCGTAGTTAATTGTTAGTTAATAGTTTTAAACTCACATTACTGAAAATGATTACAAAAGAAAGAAAAACACACTTTGACCAGAGATTCCCATCACAGCTTTTTGAAAGCACACCAATAGTCTTGCTAATTCTCTGTTTTCACAGGAAAAATAAAGCATTATGCTTTGAAAAATAAAAAACCGAGCTGACATGACTAAAACTCGTGCGATGGCACAGGTTTGTATCTGATCCTTTGCCCTCTG